TACCTCGTTGGAGGAGGATGGACACTTTGATGTTCATCCAGCACACAATTCATGCCTGATCAGGTCAAACTCCAGACGTAAACCTTCTCCTCTCCGAGTGATGGACCCGCAAAATGTTCCAGATCCCTACGGCGAATGATGACAAGACAACATATCAGCTCGACATCGGCACGACTCCTCGAACCCCGTGAGGCAGCGCAATATTGCAATGGGATCCAACATGCAAAGGCTCACCTTTGCGTTCCAGCAGCAATTAGAGTCGTGCGTGACTGGAGGACAACAGCCCCTTCCACTCTTGTCGTACGGTGCCAAAGCGGTGATGTTCTGGCATTCCGTCGATTTCCCACTGGTCTTGTTGTTCGCAATTCTCGTTCGGACATTTGTGCCGGTGCTCGTGGCGGTGGGTGCCAGGGCCGACGACGCAGGAACGCTTTGCTCTTTGAGCATCGCATTCACACGGACATTGGACGCCCAGTCGGGATTGGAAGCTTTCACGTCTGCCAATTGAAGCTTGAACGTGCGCAGCAGGTCGTCAAGGTGGAACGCTTCCGCTTGCTGCATCGTCGTAGCATCGGAGCTGGTCGAAGACATTTCTTGAATAGGTTGAGCGATGCATGAGCCAATGTACACTGCTAGCAGGGCGAGAGAGAGCAGGAAACGCGCCCAAATGTGAATGCAATGGATTGGTTGCGCGGAACTGCGGCATTGTGCAAGCTTGCCGCCTCCACTCGCGACGGGCGTGCCGGATAGCTTGCCTAGATCTGCCAGACGAAGTGATCGGTTCATCTTGCTGTTTATGCTGCACGGGTGGGAAGATGGATGATTGCGGCAGGCAGATAGAAAGGAGTCTCAAATCCTGCAATCTTGTTGTTTTTGGCGAGGTGGGGGAGACGCGAAGGAGGGATGAAACGAAAGAAGAGAAAGTAGGATGGGGGGTCCGTCGGGATGGATGAAAGAGTTGAAGAGGCTGTAGACCGCGGAAAGCGGCAAGACGGAGTGTGAAGGGTGAATAAGGAGAGAAAGGCGGGGATGGCAGGGGCAAGCCAGGGAGGCTGTAGAAGAACAGAGAGGGGCAGTGGCATGTTTGATAGGTATATATGTATTCACAAGCTCAAAGAGTGGTTCGACTTGATACGCATGTGCTCCTGCTCTGCTCTTGGACGGGCGCAACTGCCATTCCAGGGATCCTTATCGCTGCTCGCTTGCACCTCTGATGATGAGACTCTTGATTTGAAGCTCCCCTCTCACGACTCCGCGACTAGATGGGTGTATGCGCGGATATTCAATCGCAAACAAGGAGAGCGATGTCAATCTCATACGGCATGCAGATAACGAGGCACACAGTCGGGTCCATT